GAAAGACTAAGGTCCCATCTGCCTTGCATTGCATTTCCTGTCGCCGTTGAATATAGCTTAAGCCAGACGCATGCTGAAGCTTGAAGAGCTCGTCACTCGCAGCTATTAGCACCGAACAATCTGCGAGCACGTCATGCAAGTCTTGTTCATCTGGAGTTTCCAGCGAGAGCGCTGTTCTCAGTACAGCTTTCCACTGTGGTCGCGCAAAGATTGATGGCGTTCTGTTCCTCAATGATGCTATCAGTATCATATGCCGCACACCTTTGTACAGCTCAAGTGTCCGAAATGACGCGTGAACCAGGGATGCTGGGTCACGTAATGCCAGGAGCTGCTCCATTCCAAGCATGTGCTTGAGCCAATTTCTTGGTCCAGTGGGCATGAAAAGTTCAAGCATAGCCAATAGAATGACGGAAACGATTACGTCGTCATGCATACGGCGTTCTGGCTGGCTCAAAGCCTGATTCAGCCGCTTGAGAGCTACACCATGTATGGCATAACCTTCGGCGAGGATCCCACTCTGGTGATGCTGCGCGCCGAAGAAGAGGGTTGCAAAGCTGAGTGCGGCTTGAACAAATAATGGGCTGCTTGCTCCTCTTACGGCGTAGTTGTCCGTGACAATGTCTGAGGGCTGAAGTTCCTGTAACCCTAGGTCTATGGGACCGTTGGGTAGAAGATGGCGGCGTGCATAACATATGCAAACTTCTTTGTCGTTGAATTTAGGCCTGATTTCAGGGAGGTCGAAGCGGTGTTCAGGAGATTCCGAGGTAGACTCTTCTACTTCTTGCCTCTTCCAGACAGTCGTTACAGGCGGGTCCGCCGCCTTGCTCTTCAACTTCTGTGACCTCCTAGACTTGACGATTTTGCCTTGCACAAAGACGATCGACTGTGGACCATCGCATTTGAAGCCAGCCTTTTCGCATCTCTGACATGTTGGGCGAGTCTCATCTTTAGTAGGGTCAGCCTGAGGTCTAATGTGCACGACGTTGGCGCTTACCGCACTTGATACGGCGCCTGCGGCAGGTTGAGCATCCTTTCGAACGGCCGGCTACATTGACCATGATCTAGACTTTGTTTTTGCGAGATGCATGTGGATGAGACGAATGCGGTACATTGGACGAGGTGGCTGAAGAGGCAGGCGGGGAGGTCATGGGCTGACATGGGGGGACATCGGCCTAATCTGGGTCAAGCTAAACCGCTTGCGGCTCATTGGGCGAGATGCCTCGACCCCTAAGACGTGCCGCACCGCCCCTTCTTGCGTTCTTCCATCAACCTTCCAACGCTAACGCGCAGAGAGTCTCCCAGACCCCCTTGCAGTGTAAAGCCACACTGATATGTATGCGCGCATTGAGCCGCAAAAGGCATAGGTATATCATGATATCTTTCGTCCGCTCACCAGCTGTAGATATGGATTCGTACGAAGGCGTCACGCTATCTGCGATAAATATCATCACTGCATCTCCTATCGTCACATTAAGGTTCGAGTTTGTCTTCGTCGGAACAAATCCTATCCATTGAACTTACCAAGTGATCGTCGCTCTTCGTCTGCCACCTCACAGCTATGACAGTCACAGCAAGCATCGACATCGCATCCTCACCGGAAGCCGTCCGCGCAAAAGTACGAGCTTCACCTTTTCCGGCCTGATACAAAGCTTATCAGTTGCAATGCTTACGAGATTCCCAGTTTCTCGACTTCGCATCCCTCCCCAAATACCACAAAGGCTTCTTCGCTTCTCTGACCCCACTCGGCCCCGTCGAACCCGAGAACAAGATACGCGTTGTCTTTTCATCGGGACAAAAGATGTATGCTCCAATAGAAGTACGTCATATCTGTATTTGACTATGACGCGACATTGTCTAATAGAGTTCGTAGCATAACACACCAACCTCTTTCGCGTGGACAGGGTCTATACCGCTTCTGTTCACAGGTACGCATTCGTTCACTTTTGAGCCAAGTAGTACTATTCCAGGTGGCACAAAGTTCACGCAAGAAGAAGTCTTCAGCGGCGCGCTGTCCTTTCTCATGGGTGAAAACGCGGTGGCACGAAAGTTCGGCTTCCCGGAAAAGACGAAGAAAGGATGGGAGGGCTACAACAATGACCTGAAGGCGTGGTGTGAAGCGAAGTGATGCACGCAACCGTTCGATGTCTATTGTTTCGAGTATCTGGAGTTGGGGAATTCCCTTTATGTTGAGTAGGATATAGACTGCCATAGACTTCCATGCGTAACGGTTCGTTCTCTTTGGCGCTCACGTTTCCTGTTTCATGCTTTGACCATGATCTTCCGCCCCTTGAATGCCACCCGAGCAGCAATAAGCAACAGCACACATCCGAATAACAAACATCCTCCGAACACCCACAAGCTAGCAAAACCACTCTTTTCTTGAATCGCACCTCCGATCGGCGTTCCAATAAGCAGTCCCACGCCCACGACAGCGAAGGCCTGACCCATTCTTGTGCCGACCTTGTCTCGCGCGTCACTACTCAGCTGAACTACAATGGCGGGTGGAAGCGAGACGAACGATCCAGAGAAGAAGCCGTAGAATGCCATGAGTACTATAATGCCGGCGGAGGAGGTGGCACCCATGAAGCATATGCAGAGAACGCCAGAGATGATGCAGCAGGGAATTACGACGTTGAAAGGGCCGAGTTTGTCGGAGAACTGTTACGGAGAGAAATTAGTAACTCCAGGCCAAACAAAAGTAGTATCCAGAGGGTGGCGGAAAAGCTTACCAAGTTCGGTACTATACGCCCAAAGACACTCGTACTATTCATGATGGCGAGGAGATAGAATGCCATACTCTCACTCGTAATATGTTCCTGGATAGCGTAGGTTTGTGCATAGAAGAACGGCATATATAAGCCCATGAAGCCAAGGAAGAATCCCGCGACCATGAGACTATATGACGGCATCCGGAATGCACGCAGGTCGAGAAGAGAACGCGATTCCGCCGGCAGAACCCGGACGCGCATGCAAACATTGGGTACAGTCATAGTGGCGAGGACAATGAAGCCGAGCACCCGTGTCGTCCAGGCGAATCCGATTTGAGAAATGAGTTTGTGGAATACAATGGGATAGATGACTCCGCCAAGCGATGACCCAGCTGCGGCAATTCCAATTACTGTTCCGATTCGGGTAGAAAAGTAGGTTGAAAGGATAGCCACACTAGGGATAAACAGACATCCAGTCCCAATACCGATGCAGAACGCTTGTGCGAGAAGGACTTGCCAGTACGTATGGCATAGACTGAGCATCATCTGGCCCAAAACCAACATGAAGCTTCCCACGATGAGCAGTGCGCGAAAGTAGCCTGCGTCATAGATGGGACCAGTGAGTGCGCCGACCAAGAGGAGCAGGAACGCCTGTATAGACCCGATCCAGGATATGGCTGAAGCACTCGAGCTGGCGAGCAAATTCGTTTCGTAATATGTTTGGAATGTTCCGAATGTGTTGATAATCTGTGCTGTAGGGTCAGTTCAGGTCTTTCATGAAGTCTGTACGTGGTTTTGACTTACGCCCCAAGAGTTAAACAACAGAAAAAACGCCCCGAGGACCTGCAGCCATGCCCACAGTCCACCATTAGGTATTTTGGACGCGTCATTCACATTAGGTTGACTCGATCGCGCAGGTTCCAGCCTGCTCTCGGCTGTATTTTCATCGTCCTTGTCCTCTATCACGCGCTCCTTGTGTGTGCTGCGCAGTGAATTCAAAGTCGCATACGATGGCTGATGTCTTGGATCCTTCGACGACTCCGCACTGTACTGCGAATTCAAGGTCGCAAGGGATGGCTGTTGACTAGGTCCGCCAAAGTTCGTCAACTCATAGGAAGCCGGTCCAGTCTGTCTACCGGGGTCCAGCGTCGATACGTTCGTAGGTGGCATACTGGGCCTGTTCCCGCTGCCAGTGCAGCTGTCGCGAGTGGAAGTGTTGTCGCTAGGTATCAAGACGGAGCAGTGGCCCGGCAGTGAGTGTCCAACGAGGTTCTTGTTCGAGAAATGGGGTCCTTAAAAACGGAAACTACCAGTAGCAACGCTTGCTGAGAGGCACACAAGCAGGAGATGACGGATAGAATAATCAAAGAGTTGGCAGAACGCGGACTTAGAAAGACGTCTAAACGAGACGTGAATGAGAGACAAGCAGCCCCAGGAGACCATATATCAAGCTTCGGAGTTGACTGGGGGCATCGGCTAGAAAGGGTGCAACACAGACCTGGGCTGCGCTACACTTCCTCCTCTTTCGGGCATATTCTCAAGCAACCGACGGCTCGCTCCAGCCTTGGAAGTTGAGGCTGAGGAAGACATGGCGAAACGTACTTGCTAAGGTTTGTCCAACACTCCGTAATCCAATCGGGGGATTTCGTTATGAGGAACGATCCGGTTTCATGCTTTAGTCAAAACCTTAGGGAGCACAGCCTTGCAGACAACGGCGCGCCACGTGCGCGGCAACAGGCACGTCATGAAACTTTCCTGATTGTTATCTCCGCATTACAGCCGTGCAATTCCGGCCGAGACAGGGCTGTATCCCATCGTCGTACCTTCCAAGAACACTGCGCTTCGCATATGTAGTCTGCTGATACCCTGATGCTATTTTTCCGCCCTTCAGCGCGGCCTATCTAACCCGTGAGATTTCATCCTCCACCTTTGTATACCGCGCTGCGTCTGATTCCGACACATTTGCCTAAGACGCCGCCACCATCGTAGAGAAAAGAAAACATTTATGCCGTAATGATGTACAAATCAAAGTCAAGCTGGCATGCTGTCATGATCTTGGGGAATATGCTTCGTCACATCGTAACGTACTTTTGGTGACCGTAGGAAAGGTTTTGGTGGAAGGACTCGCTCACAACGCCTGCGTGAACGCCCATGAACGCTCACTATGCTTACACCCTAAGGAAAGAACCGACCTGGTTTGTATGTCGCCGGCCCGAAAAGTCGTGCCGAATGTCGAATGCTGACATGGGAAAGAACTAACGTCGTCGAGGCTCCACTTGTTCGGACTGCTCCTCATGTGTCGCTGGCGACCCGTTTCGTCGCCAAGCGATGGCCGGAAGGGTGAAGAGATGATGGCTCGACTTGCTCCACGCGTTCTTCAAGATACACGTTGTTCAAGAGGCCGGCTGGAATGGTACCATCTTGGCTCGGCTTCAACTGGCCCGCCGATGCCTTTTGGCGCCGATTCTCACGCTCATTGACTACTTCGCGCAAGATCTTAGTGGCACCACTCCATCCGAGTTGATTCGCTGTTGCCCGATGATTGAAGAGCCGTTCCACGAGTGGAAGTGGCAGAGATAGCAGAATAGTCGACAGCACGACGGTCGCGTGGCTAGGACGGTGATCATCTTCCGGTGGCGCGTCACCGAACCGAATCTTGCTTAGCCTTGGGTTATGCGCGGCGTTACGTGGTTCAACGAGTGCTGGCAGACGTGGAGCATCTGAAAACTCTGGCGCTATCGCGTACAATTTGAAGTCGGCAGGGAAGGTGTAGGCGATGAACTCGAGAGCGTGATTGAGCAGCATTGAAATGAAGGGGTCTTCTGCATCGGGACCTTCACCTCTTGATCGTGGCCCAGAGCTGGCCTGCAGTGTATATTGCAGTACCTGCTCGACAGTATCCCATCGGAGAAGCATCCGTGCGATCTCAATACCGCGCGCCTGCATGCTAGGCATCTGGAGAGTCCTTGCTGCCGCAATGTAGCTCAGAACTTGTCGCATGCGCATGCGGGCGTCGTTGGAAGGGGACGCTTGGTCGTTCTCGTACATGTAAGGTGCAAGGCCGAACAGGAAGGTCTGGGCAGAAAGGAGCGGGGCGCCATACAGAACCCTGACAGCTTCCTCTAGGGATTCGCCGGTAGTGAAAGGGTCGAGCGCAAGGACATCGACCAGTCGGCGCGCGTCTCTGCTGCGGTGGCTGGGGGCCGGGCTGCGACGAATTGCTTCGGCTATGACAGGGCTCCGCACGACTACGATGCCGTGAACTGGTACTGACATCAGAATGGACTCAGGTGACCGAACTTGGAGGATGAAGTCGGCGAATTCGGGGTTGGCGAATTGGATTGACAAATAGCTGGCAAGTTCAAACGGCGACTCCTCGAGGCGTTCGGTAGGAGGGGCAGTGCCATTCTGGTAGGGCATGGCATGATGCTCGTCCCCGTGGTCTGATGTGGGTACCGTGTCGCCAAATTGTGCCTTGCTTGGTGACTGCGAGTGCGAGGTGCGGGTACCGTTTGCGACAAAAGCTGCCTGTTCCGGCGAGAAGTGACCGTTGGGAGGACCCGGATAGAGGACAGGACCGCTGGGAAACTGCGAGGGTCGAAACTCGGAGCCGTTTGCGTAGGCAGCTTCAGGCGGTGCGACTGCTTGTGGCGGCACATGCCAGGGCGCTCCTGCCTCTGAGGGATGCTGGGCGTGGCCGGGGAAGAAGGGCGCAAACTGCTGGGGACCGAACCCAGGCGGAGGACGTGGCAGCGCGTGCTGTTCGTGCTGGTGCAGCTCTGGCTCTTGAGGAGCCACAGGAGGTGCCGGTGACTCATTCGCGCTCTGGAAGACCAGAGCACCAGCACTGAGCTGGTGGCGGTGCGAGGAAGTGTGAGCGCTGTCGCTGCCTTCTGTGGGCGGTGTCTGCGTGTCCGTCTTGTTCGAGGGATAGAAGGGTGGAGGCAGGTGGGCGGGTATGGTCAGTTTGCGGTGCACTCCGTTCGTGGCAGGCTTGGGCTCGGCGCTGGGCTCCACGGGCGCGGGAGGCTTCTCGTCGGCATGGCCGTTGACGTGGTTGTCTGCATCTGGGGAGTTTAGTACGTGCTGCGTCAAAGAAGGAGCCGGTAGTGAATGCTCACCATGAGTGTCTGCCGGTGCCGAGTGGCCATTCTGCAACGGGCCAGGCGCGGCGGTTGCATCGAGCTCTCTCTTTTCTGCGCCCGAAGTGTTTGACTCTGGCGTAAGAGGAGTCTGCACCGCCTCGGCCTGCTGATTTTCAGTTTGCTCTTGTTCCTGCCTCTCGTGCGCGGATTGCGGCTCCGGCTGCGGCTTAGCTGGGTGGGCAACGCTGTCCTTGGTGGAGCCGTCTGGTGTGATGGGTCTGGCTGATGGCTGAGACTTGGACAGACGGTAGGGGATGGCAGGCACGATGCGCGAGCCTGGGCGCCGGTGCTGCTTCTGCGCCGTGGCTGCGCGTGCGGTGTCGGCCATGTTTGCTGGGGCGTGCGGAAGAAAGTGCGACTGGGGATTCGGAAGCGGCTCCAGGTAATTGCGGCCTGCTGCTTGTTGCCAATTATCCTGGAGCGCCCTGGGACGGGAGAAGTGTGCGGCGAGGGTATTTGCTACGTGGGGTTAGTCGACAGCAGAGAAGTCCAGGCAGAGATGGAGACATGGCTTCCCCACCAATTTTAGCTGCACACCTCTGACCTCATGGCCATAGCTTAAGCTCCATTTGTCATCCTCCACCGCCCACACTGAAACACCACCACTTTCTTTGTTCCCTTTTCTCTACATACGCGTTGTCGTCGTGCTGCTTAAAGAGACTAATCTACTGGTTGTCGGAAATTACGCCAGTACATGTCGTGCTGATGGGTCAGTGACAGTCAAGGAGGGTCTGCAGGCGGCGACGCTGCGATGCAAAGCAAGCTTCCACAAGAATGATATATTCTGTATGATACAGCGTATCGGCTGACTAGTAATGCAAGGGAATACTGTTTATCCGTTTGCTCTCACTCTATCTAGGTGGCTACCTGTGCATTCCTGCCGACAGCTCCAGTCGAAGCGACTAATCATGCAGAGCATCATGATATTCATATCGACTCTGAACTCCACCGGGTGTACCTTCCTGCTCCAGACATCAAACAGAACGCTCGAACTGGAAAGAGCCACTGACTGACCGCTGATGGAGAAGGCACTACCTCAAGGCAGGACGAACAGCGCTCCTTTGTAGGGCAGTAACGCCCCTCTTAGCCACATGGCACCCTTATCGCCATGGCTGTCCTTCCAAATACACCTCAATCTTCTTCCTTGCTATCGCACGATAAACCGAAATACTGCACCTACAGCTCCGTCACCTTCTCCCGTTTGCCCTATATTTCCTAGTCCAACATTGCCTTTCGTTACACCTCTAGCATGATCCTAGGACAGGCACAACCGATCCGCAATGACAGAACCTCGACGCGATTCTCCAAGCCTGCGCGCCCGTTGAAGGACGGTCGCTGCTCAGATTGTCGAGTACGCGACACCAGAGCCATTTCCGCTAATTACTGCTTGACTACCTGTCCTCATGAGCATGATTTCACTCCTACGCGTACGTTGGCACTAGATGGCATGCGCTTTGACGGCTTCTAACATTTATAGCGAACAAATTCAGCATCCTAGCAGAGCTCCAACACTCGCCCACCGAACCAAAGTGGAATTTCGATTTTGTTCCCACCACTACCGGAAGCACGAGGCGGCGAGGCAAACGGGGAGGAAAGCGCCATAGAAGCAAAGACTCATCTACCAAGGATACTGAACGATGCGAAAATGCAAACATTAGCGCGTTGTGCAAGACCATGGCTGCGTTGCGTCTTAACGAGGATGAGCCGATTAAACCAGGGATGGACGACACTTCTAGCCATAGTCGAAAGGCCGCACCTATCAATCCTCCGTGTTTCGATATCGACAGACCTTCTTGGGCCCCACAATTTCTTCCAGATTCAACAGCCACTGCAACAAGCCAGTCCCAGTCCTCCCAGATCAAAGCACTGCGGTCTCAAATGTCCTCTAATGGCGCAGCGACTAAGCGGCAGAATTCTCAGTTCTTCCCAATCTCCGCTTTTCTTGCCTGTCCCGATCTTTCAGGACGGTTTCCATCCAAGTCTAAATTTCTAGAATCAAAGGCTCCTGAAAAAGTTCCGCAACCCTCAGAGTCTTCAGTCCCTCCTCCTACATCCTCGTCCCACGCACAACACGCCGCAACAAAAGCAGCACATCGTGCACTCACTTCGAGGAGTCTACAGACCAAGCCTACCACATCCACTGACGAGTCAGATATCCAGCAAAAGGGACCACCTCTTCTCCCAACCGTGGCGAATACCCCTTGTACGCCCTGTCCTCTCAGTCTTGTCAACATGTCCTCCAACATGATTGAGCCAACCTTTGTATCCCCTTCTGGTGCATCTCAACCCACCGAACCCGAGACAGCGAATGGAAAAATTGGAACTCCATCCATTGCACATGGCCTTGGGCGGGAACCTCCATTTTTGGACGCTGAAAAGATGAACGTCAACCCGCGTTTTCACGGCTATTGGCAACGCCGTTCAATACCAACTCCAGCAAAGGTTCGTCAGTCGGAAACGCTGATGAGCTCGGGTCATGCGCGTATCAGGCTGTCACCGCAAGAAGTGACTGTTCCAGCAAAGCCCCACGCGCGTTGCTATATTCCTCAGCAACCCGGTCGAAAGTCCAAGTTCTTCGCCGACGGCAAACTCATCGCGCGCGAGAGCACCTCCACAGCCCAGCAGCCCGTACTCGGAACCCCATCGTTTGGAACAAGCTCATCCACTTCTCCTGCTCCCGAAAGCTCTTCTCGTCCACCCTTTGGGGACCCGTTCAAAACGTCGGAGGCAGAACATCCGTGGAACGCTTATCAATGGTATACTGCGCTGTCGGACAAGCCTGCAGCATCTAGCGCGTTCTTCTCAGATATTTTCACATCGCCCAATACGCGGAATGATGAGGACAGCATCCCACAGCGCTCACCAAACCTCGACATCAGCCACGTGAACTCCAAACCATCCACGCAAGACAATCACAGGGCCACAATCTCCAAAGTGCTTGCACTCCTTGAAGCTGAACATAAAGAAAGCGTCTCCAAATCAGACACCGATGACTTCGACACTGTTAGTCTTCTTTCCGAGTACGATATCATCGATCCGGTAACTACGAAGTCCATGGCGGATTCCTGGGAGGAAGTACCTACACCACCCGAGACTACGTTTGATGTCGAACCCATTGACGACTCCGACTGCGACGATGAAGATGACGAGTATTACTCTGAGTCTTACTTCCAGTCTCACTAGGAGGAGACACCCGCCACACCTACCAGTGCTGCACGATGGACGAGTGATGGTGCCAGCACGAGCGCAGTGGAATGGCCTACTTTGCAAGAGGCGATGAAATTGCGACATACTGGAGTTGACGAGAGTACGAGTCCGACGAAAGATGACGACGAGATTAGATATTGGGACGGTGTTACAGATTGGTTCATGTGAGGTCGCACGCTTGTATAGTGAGTGCGTCTCGTTGATGTCGACTTCGAGAGTGTTGCCGCTATGATGGTGTTAGTTTGGGATTCCGTGTGGGTCTGCTTGAATCGTGTTGCCTCTTTCTCTGAAATCCCTAGAACAATGGCAGTATACATTTGATCGTGCGTCTGACGTCACTACTGTGAGCTGATACATTGCAATGGTATCTTGCCATGGTCTCGACACACGCATAGACCAAATGCTTTCTTTTATGTAATTGTCATTGGTTTTATAGTATAAATATGACTCGAAAGACACTGAAGAATCTAAACATCTCTAAACACCTCTTTCTCAAAGTCCTTGCACAAATCATTGAATGGCAGCCATTCATCCTTGTCCGACTTTGCCCCGCCCTTCTCCGCGATTGGGCTCCACCACGCCTGCTCCACGCCCGCATCATCATGTACTACAGCAACGGGCGCGACCGGTCCCATGGCATTCGACTCGTACAACTTCCTAGTGTGATTAAAGTACCACATGCGATCCCAGACCGAAACGCGGAGGGACTTGAGCCCATCTCGATGCGCGTTGTGGTGGATCAGGCCAGGGACGACGCTCGTCCACATGTTCGTGTAGAGAGGAACATCGTTCCAAGACTTCTCATCGGGGAATTTGGCACCCGGAGCGACGACTGCGGGGCGGAATGGCGGTTGCGACTCGGTAATGTCTTGGACAAGGTCGTGAACGCGTACTGGCGCGACGTTGAGTTCAGCAGACGCTTGCGCAATGGACTTGGGGTCGCCATGTGTAACCCATGCTGAGTCTTCTTCTGCGAAGACTGTGGGATGACCAAGTAGACTGGCATAATCCAGTCCGATGCCGAACTCATCTGGCTTGCCAGCCTTGTGCTCGCGCAAATGCCGCTCAGACTGCGGGCTGAGGATGCTCTTTCTCCCCGTCAACCAATCCCCCGTCTTTTGGAAGAAAGACCTGTGCCGTTGTCTCATGACCTCGCGTTGAAATTCCTGGTCGCCGAAAATCTCACTGAAGATCTTCTGGTCGCTGCCAAAGTTGCGGTCTTTATCTGCCTTCTCCATGGCGCGTTCGAAGAGCGCTTTCATCGCGCCCACGCGGCCCATGGCATCTCCGGAGTTGAGGTACCGTTGACGGAACTTGACGTATGGATTCTTATCCCAGCCGATATCGGTATCGGTCTGCGGGCCGTAGATGTCTTCTGGCAGCGAAGACTGCGGTACAGCATAACAAGGGGGGTCCTCTGGTTTCCACGGCCAACACCGCTTCTGCGCGGAGAAGACAATATCCTGACTTATGCCCTCTGCAGCCGCGGCTCTCGATCCCATGGTCTTCCGTATTCGCGCATTCGCCGCGTCGTTGATAGCGTGGAAGCGCGAGATTAACGCGCTGGGTCGTAGTTGAAACCAGATGTCGTATCCATCCACCAGCAATACCAAGTCGTCGTCGCGTTCCGGTCCAAGTTTACGCAGGTATTCGAGCACACCACTGATCTTGGCGATATGCGAACCTCCAGCCACTAGCGATTTATCGTCAAATGTGGCGCCCCAGTTGATCAGCGTAGGGGTTGGGTACCCAGCCACTGCAGCGCTGAGCATCGTCTTGCAAAGATTGACATCTTTGTGGTCCGCAGGGATGAGGACGTGGAGGATAGAGGAGTGTTTCGCCTTGTTCTTGCTGCTCGACGAGAAAGCAGTGGGAACAAGATGGCGGTCGCTGTTGACGGTAGTAATGAAGACAACAACGAGTATAAAAGATGCTGCGAAAAGTATCCAACGCCGGCGACTCCAGCCTGGTAGGCGCGCGACCGCGTCGTTGGAGAGTTGCTTGTACCCGCGCATCATCCAGAAAACCGTGCTGACACGGCGGAACTGTGAAGCTCACGTTGCGAGATAATGCTTGCGACAGCGCCGTAGTTGGCAGTGCATCTGCACCCGGCCGAGCGCATTATTCATGTTGGTAATGAGCTGTCACCGATGGCAGTTCGCCTTCTTAGGATCTAAACTTACACTTGAGCTAGTCGGATATCCCAGCCGTGCGGCGTCAACTCCGGGAGGTGGCGGATGGGCGTACACTAGTGGGTCTACTTGCCGGCACCATCCGGAAGAGGTGTGCCGAGATGCCGTCTCTTTGGTGGCTTGGACCATCTGCTCGGTAAACTGCCACGACAGGGGCGGCGTGGCTATGTGAACAGGAGCGAAATTAGGCAGTAAGATTTGTGCATTCCACTCTTGGTGCCAGTTCGATGAGAGACCTTACATGTGATCGTACAGTTTGGTGTGAAACACAACGTTGCTATTAAGATTTAGTAAATTCAACGCCTGATGCTTCGCGATCAATGGTATATAGTGTCCCAAAACGAGACTTTCTCTGGCTCTCCACTGTACAACGCAGGTTCATGCGACTCGCAAAGAGATTTCCACGAGAGCGATGCCCCCTGGTCACTCCAAGCCCCCGACTTCTCCTCTGGCTCGCCTACTTTACTGTCGTACGGCATGTTCTTGGTCCACCGAACTCCATTGATAGGATCTGGCCCAATCTTCTCGTCGTTTACTTGAGATGCCGCGCGTTGAAGGCGCTCAGCCTCTCCAGAGTACCACATGCGGGGCCACCAAGTGTCTCGAAATGACTTGTCGCCTGTGAAGTGGAGCACTGGGAAAGGCTGGCCAGTAACTGTGTTGAAACCCAGAGACACATCTCGCCACGAAGTTTCCTTCAAGGCCGGATCATCTGATATAGCAGCAAATGGCTTCCTTGACTGCAGCACGTCCTCCTGTAGATCAATCCTGTACGGCTCCACGGATTTCGATGATGAAGGAAGCGAGGATTGGTTCGTCGCCATCCAAGCAATGTAGTTCCTATACCCCGCAGCTGTTTGGAATAGGCTCGATCGATAGTCCAGCCCAATGTGATATTCAGTCACTTCGCCTTCCTTGAGCGTTGGTAGGTCAATTTCTTGAACTCCTTCGGGCATCCCGTAGGGCTTATCTCCATGCGATAGTATGCGCGCATACTCTTGATCACCCCATACGTCTGCAAAGTACTTCTGATCGGAGTTGCGCAGCACGTCTTCGGGATTGTACGTCTGCTTGATCTTTTCTTGAGTTGCACGAAACATCTCGCGCATTTCGCCAGCGGGCCCGATGATGGTGCCTGAGTTCAGCCAGCGCGGTCTTGCGTGATTCATATCACCCCATCCATCAGTGTAAGGGCCAAAAGCGTCGGGGTGAAGAGGTGAGTCAGGAACGACCCAGCACGCTAAGCGAAGAACATCTTCTGGCCAGCATACTTTGTCAGGGCCGAAAAGGATGCTGTTGTAAATCTTGTGTTTCCGCATATGGCTTTTGCCGTACCGGTTGACCAGCCGATCATTGGCGGCAGCCGTTTCTTCGAAGTAACGCTTTAGCAAGACATCCGGACCGAGCTGGAACGTAACATCGAAGCCATCCACCAGTAAGACTATGTCTGTATCTTGTGCGGGGGACAGACTCTCGAGGTAGCGAAGAGGACCCGCGATTTTCGCAAGGTGAGTTTCTGCAGCGTTGAATGCGCCCGCTCCTGCCCAGTCGATGAGAACGGGAGGTGGGTACAAGAGCACCGACGCGGAGAGAAGAAGGCGGCACAAGTCGAGGCCACTACTCGTAGCTACAATGAGCAGGTGAAGACGCGATTCTTGGATATTCGCGGTGAGTGGATCTTGTACCGCGGCTTGCCGTATGGTGTCGAGGGAGTTGAGATGTAGTGCAGTCCAGAAAACTACCAGGGTCGCGAAAACCAGGGTTCCGAAGACGAGAGTCCTAGGACGAAGCATGGCGCAGGTGTATTGAGCCACAGCCGTCTGAAGGCGATTATGATATGATCAGTGGTAATAGAGCGCTAATTTTAGGCCAGCCATAGCCCACAAAACTCTCCTTTGGCATTGATACCGTGCAGCCCCGTGGTCAGGCAGACCTCGGGAGCGTGGCGTCACCCATGGCAATCTCGTATGGTGAGCTGCATGATTGGCATAAATGGCATGATTCCGAAAGAAGTTGATAGAGCGAGGCATACTACCAGGATATCGGGAAAGACGGATGCTAGTGTCTTACTCGGATCCAGGCTCCAAGCGATCGGTTGGACGCACGTCTGGGGTCACAGAAGAATCACATGTGCACGGACTCTGTTCTCGCTAGAGTAGCGCGTCACGCTAAGAAAGCGCGACGCCATGTGTCATTCGCTCATCCACTTGCTCTCGCCTTTGACTTAAGCTCTATACTACTGTACCACGCTCCACCTGCCAGAGCGAGCAGGATGCCCGCGCCGTTCATCGGACTGACAGGCACGTCCCACAAGAAGGCTCCCAATACGATGGTCAGACATTGCTTGAGATTTGCACAGATGGTCAAGGTCAACGCGCCCGCCAGCTTGTTCGTCTCGAAAGACGCGACATTGAGGCCGAATGCGAGCAGGCCGTTGCCCGAGACTGTCAGAATCCTTTCCCTTGTAAAGTGTCCGGCATTCACAAAAGCAAGAAATTCTGAGAATTCGCCAATGAGCACCGAGTACAGCAGAGATTGCACTGCGGCCAGGGGCCCCATGCGGAGGAGCAGCTCCAGAGCGGGTAGTCGCAGGCGCCCCGTCATCAAACGGTTGGTAACAACGGTCTATTTCGAGCTGTTAGCATCCTTCGCGAGAACGTGCATAATCCTTCGGGTATTACTTACCTTTATGGCAGCGAGGACCACACCGATGAGTGTCAGGGTGAATCCAATGGCGGTGAAGTAGTAGTCACCAAAGGTAGCCAGTCCGACGCCTAGCATTAC